CTCAACAAGCTTTATTTCATATTAAGCAGCAGAGATTAGGTGCAACCCCGCACATTCTTTGGTTGGGATGAAGGCCTTTGTCCAGGAAAAGGGTGACAGTACAACAGATACAGATGAAATTGCACCATGACTGTTTCTCAGCCATGATACCAAGAGCACCAAAAAAGGAGAAAAGAGCCGAACAAGTGGGACACACACTCTTTTGCGTATAAATAATCCCACACTCAGCAGTGTGTTGCCATGAAAGTCCAAACATTTTGGAACGGGCAAAACGGTACATTGAACTTTTAAGCAGCCAGGAGACGGCATCTTATCAGTAAAGGAGAAGCCCCAAAAAAGGAAGGTTAAATATGGTTAAGAGAACCAGTCTGGCGCAGTGGTTAAGGTACCAGACTAGAAACTGGGAGACCATGAGTTCTAGTCCTGCCTTCAGCATGAAGCCAGTTGGGTGACTTTGGAGCAATCACTCTCTCTTAGTCCTAGGAAGGAGGGAGCGTGAGAAGCCGCTCCTGGAAATGTTGCTACGAAAACTGCAGGGAGTTGTTCATGTAGTGCCCAGGAGTCAAGATTAACTTGAAGGCAAGGAAAGCCAGTTTGGTGTATGGTTAAGGTGCCAGGCTAGAAACTGTGAGTTCTAGTCCCGCCTTAGGCATGAACCCAGCTGGGTGACCTAGGGCCAGCCTCTCCCTCTCAGCCCTAGGAAGATGAAAATGGCCAACCACTTCTGAAATCTTGCCAAGAAAACTGCAGGGACTAGTCCAGGCAGTTGCCAAGAATCAACACTGACTTAAAGGTGTACACACACACACACACAAATGGTTAAGAGCGCTCCCTCCCTGTGGGAGATGGTTTGTTTTAGAAAGGAGCTGAAGCAAGATTGCAAGTGGGGCGCCAAATATAACTACCTTCTTCTCACATTACACATATCTGCATGTATGGAGTGGGCTTAGACAATCAACCCAAACTGGGTTAATGAAACAAATTGCTGAGCTCACATAACATGCAGATGATACAGTAAGACGAAGGTCTAGTTCATACAACACGCCAGGACCAGTGCCTGCAAACCTCCTGACCTTTGTGTGTTGTGTGAACACAGCCAAAATGAAGCAATGAAGAGTTTCGCCCCATAGACATTCTGACCATAGGGAGGATGGGGAGGAAGCACAACAATCTGCAATATTTTTATTTATAAACAATCCATTTTAGAGGAAATTTCAAGATCTTTCCTCCACCTCTCGTTTCCTTCCACTTCATCAGGATTGTCTGGGGATATGCGCATGTGTTTAAAAACCACATTCATCTTACTTTAGAGCTTTTTTCCCTCCAGTATTTCCCATCTCAAAAAGGCAGGAAACCACAAGCCTTATTGTCAACCATTGTGGACAGAAGTGCTCAAGGGGGTACAAAACAGAGTTTAGGGATTTGCCATTCCAGAAAGGAGAGGTGGGTATAATAAACGCCTATCTAGCCACTGGGGGAATGAAACAAAATGAAAAATATATATATATGTAGTTAGACTTGGAGATCCCCTGTTTTAACAAAGTATTCTTTGCTTCCATAAAGATATATTTAGATTATTCTAAGAGTCATTTATCTTTTATCTTTCACTGCACAGACAAGACTATATTAAAAGGGTGATTCACGCTGGCTTGCTTTGTGAAAGTTATGAATACTTTGCTCCAAGTACATTTCTTTCACTCTAATGCATATGAATCTATTTTTCTGCTCTCCTACATATCATCGGGGAGTTATTCAAAACTTTCACAAAATTATTCATAACTTTCACAAAGCAAGCCAGCATGAATCACCCTTTTAATATTGTTTATAATACTATAAAGGTTATATAATTATAATATTATAACATTTATACAATTATACAATATTCTTTACCATTAGCATAATTCTCTTCTTCACACTCTCAAAAAAACCAAAACAAACTTTCATAATCCTCATTTCTTCCCCCACAGAGACACGCTTTGATAGGAACACCTCTTCACAATGAGGTTTAAGTGGGAATCTGGTTTGTTTTAAGTTTCCTCTCCTCAGGAAACCACAGAGAAGGCAGAAGAAAAAAACCCAAAAGCCTATCATTGGAAAACTGTAAAAGTGTATTCAAGTTTCAACTCTCAAAGGGACGATTTCCAAATCTACTGCAAGCCATAACATAGTTATTTTATTCGGCCTGCAAAAACAATATTAAAATGGTTCACGGAATTTTTGGCAGCATTTCTTGGTCTCTATGAGTTTAGCACCTTGGTTTGGAAAGACTGCACAGCGTGTCATAAGGTGCTTAGAAAACGTAAGGCTAGATTCTGATTTCATATTGAAGGGAACTTTAGGTTCATCTTTAAGTGAACTTTCGTTCTTCATTTCTCCAGAAATTTGAAAGTTTTCTCTCCTATTTTCACTTATCCATCCTCTGCGTGTCATCCATGTCATCAGACTGGGGTTCATATTAAATATGCCTTGAAAGGAGCCAATTGTCTTTGCCAGTCAAACAACACAACGAACCAGGAGCAGCTTCCAAATTCCTATCAACATATAGCTTTTTGGAATCAAGCCCCACCTCTCCTCTAGGATCGCCACTTTCTCCCCCAGCAACACCCACGTGGTTCAGCTGAGAGAGAAAAAATGAATATTTATTTATGCCATTTCTATGCTGATTCCCAAAGACTCCTAGCGGTATGGTAACTACTAACACCATTTCTATACTGTTGACTTCCAACAAATGAGGGAGCAACTAGCCCCACTGAACTGCACTGAAGGCAAGACCTGAACTTCAGTTCTCTGCATGGGTCTGCTGGAACTGGCTCGTATGAGCTGATGGTTACATTTTCAGGAATTTTGAGGGCAGAGCAGATCCAAGCCATGACACCTAGTGTGATGATCAGCTGTTTGGTGGCAGGGCATATCAGCAGCAACGGAGTTGGCAAAGCCATTGTTATACATTTATTAGCACACCACTGCTACTACCCTAAGTGATCACTGTAGACCAGTGTTTCTCAACCTTGGCAGCTTGAAGATGTGTGGACTTCAATGTCCAGAATTCCCCAGCCAGCAAGTCCACACATCTTCAGGTTGCCAAGGTTGAGAAACACTGACCTAAATATTTAAAGCTTAATCCCCATCACTGCTGAATGCTGGATGTCCTTTTCAACTTCCCAGTTGCCTCACCTAGTTAATCAACATGACTATCCCCAGCCCCAAACCCACCCCAGCAGCTCACAAATCTCGGGGGGGGGGGGGATAGTGCCATTAAGGGGGGAAATGTCTCTCTCATGGCATCAGGAATCCACCCTGGAAGCCTGAAACAATGGCCCCATTCACCAGAAATAGAACAGAAGCGTCCTCTCTAGTAGAAAAGCAAAAGGGGAGAGATGTCCCTTATTCAATTGGCTGTATTATTGGTTAGGAAATATTTGCCATGTCATTGTGTGCAATTCCAAAGACATGGTGGAAGGTGTACATTTGCAACATCTTGGTTTCCCTACCAACAGCTGAACAAAATCTGGCTTAAACCTTGGATATTAGTAGAACCAGCTTCATGTGTAGGTTGGCTTTGCAAAACAAGGGAAGTAGCATTGCTTATAAAATGAACGTATTTTGTTTGAGGTCAAAAGCACTCCACTGATGTCAAGCTTATGCAAAAATGACCATTATTTATAAACAGTTCAGATGACAGGTTTCAGGGTAACCTTCTGCCTTAAGTTTTTTGGGGGGTTTTTTCTATATGTTACACTTACAAACAAGTTTTTGTTAGTCTTCGTGTTTCCATTTGCCAGGTATTTGTGCCTTTGTTTTAATAAAGAGGAAAGATCTTGACATTTTGTAACACGCAGCATGCATCTGAAACTTCACAAGAAGCTCTGCGTTCTTGCCTACAGCACTCACTCTCTCTTAACCAATGGCATTCTGCAGAAAAAGATTATGTTCCCTTGAATATTAACACAGAGCAAGCTGTACCTACAAAATGTCCCTTCTCTGTCAAACCACCTTAAACAGCCTGTTCTGGCAACTCCTTTCTTTTAAAGTATTCATTGGAAATATTTATATAAAACATTCATCGCACCAAACAAATTTCATCACCTAGAATTAATTGACCATATGCAAACCCCCCAAAATAAAAAAATGATACCATATGTTTTCTTCTGGAACAGATTTCATGATATTTTACAACAACAGAGGTTTTTTTCTCCCTTTTTATTTGCAATTCTCATACATTGGTTCATACTTGATATAAAAGTGTTGTGCCTAGAATCTTAACTTTTTTTCCTATTTTCCTTGCTGTTATTAATTATATCCTTCTGTTTTTAATTTTTGTTTATAGCTCGGTTTTGGGGTGTTTTTTTTTTTGTAGTTAGTTGGTGGCTTGTATTTTTGTGCCTTTTTAAAAAACCTGTAATAAAATTAAAACTGCAAACTCAACTAACACATAAAGCAGAGAAAAAGAAACATATTTAAAAACCTCACAAACTTAAAATGCCTGAGTGAATTGAAACATGGTTTTCCTTGGGATCTAAGCAAAAGGCTCCGAAAATGCAGGCAGGATAATGTTGGAAAACCATCTGATGTCACTTTTTAATTTGCACAACTTTGTTAAAAGCAAGTTTCCCACGCCAGGTTTATTATATATAAAATGACCAAGTTGTAGGTAGATACAAAATTCAGAAACCACCCTGAAAAATGTCTTGCAATTCCGAATTAGTTAAATATAGTTATCATGATCATTCCACATATATTTCATTATTTCCCCGGCCTTTTTTTTAATGCAAAAAAAAAAGGGCTACAGCAGAGTCAACAGAATGGGACATGCTGTTCCAATACAAAGCATTTTTTAAACTTTATTCTCACTCCTTTTTTTTGTAATTGAAGAGTGTTTCCCAATCTTCATCCCCTTAATTTGTAGAGCAGTAACATGTTGAAACAGCAAGAAGATTCCGAAGTCTTGGTTCATATCACTTCACCTGTAACTCTATCAGGAGAGCAAGAATCTTGCTTACCGTCCTCATTGGTCTGGTTATCTTGCCTTTGATCTATGCAATGAGGGATACATCATGATAACTTTGGAAAAACAGGGCTGGATGAAGGTGTGCGTTTCACTGATGGAAGGTGATTCGCAAAGCAACGTGGTTCCCTTGCTCCTAAGAGAAAAGCAAAACCACCAGGCTGCAATTTTGTAGCAGGAGTTGGAGGCCTTCCTGGGGTGTGCTGAGAATCTTCTGGGCTGGGTAGTTCCAGCTCATACTGTAGTCAATTTTAAGTCATCCAACCTAGAGCCCTCTCCCACAGCGCTGGTCCAAAGAGGATCGAGACCACCCAAGCTGCTTTATGGAGGTGAAATGGGTCACCTCTTCATTTCTGCGAAGATGATCATTTACCTCCATGGCACAAACCTCTTTATCAAAGCACATCTAAATCGCTTTGTGCAGACCTAGAAAATATTCCAGGAACTTCAGCTGATGCAACATAGAAGAGCAAAAATAACAAATGGGACTAACATCTTGAATCCACGGTTTCATTAGACTCACCCCAAACACCTCTGAACTATGCCTGCTTTCAAATTCTCTAGAAGTCTTCATCAGGATAAGTCAGTTGACCCCAACTTGGATCCCTGCGTAAGAGTGGGCTTTAATTCCCAGAATTCTCAGCAATGCTGGCTAGGAAATTTGGGGGGCTGAAATCTATACAGGTTGGGAAAGGTTGAGATTGGTGATACCAAAAGCTCTAAATGTTTTCAAAGTTTGGTACAAGAAGAACCACAATGGTCCATATACACCTATTTACTATTAAGGTCTACTAAGGGATTTCCAAGGTCAGCTGAAGACTTGAATATGGGTTTCCTTAGTCCTAATCTAACAGCTTAACCACCTACCACATTGCATTTCCTCAGACTACTGGGAGTACAAGCTACAGATTTGTTTCTGGGACTCCTAGGGTCCAGATCTGTAGCCCCAAGAGTGCCAGGTTGGAGAATGCCATGACCCTACCCAAGTTCCTTTTAACTGGACCATGTTGATGGTGAACTGGGAACATTTTTTCCCATGGAAAGTGTGTTCTCTACCGTCGACTCCTAATCCTATATAGGTACATCCACAAAAGCAACAGTTTTCATTTGTTTTCTGAAAGTCATACCTTCCATTAATTTCACCTACCTTTTCTTTTCAAACAGGTGTCTGCAAGAAGCTGTAGGAACGCCCCCCCCCCACCATAATTAGATTTTGCACCATAATCCAAATGGAGGGCGTTTAGGGTTAATCTAAAATCCACACACATGGCATGCAGCTGACCTTCTGACTTTTAAAAAAAACAACAACCCTGTAAGCTCACAGAGGTCGAATCTGATTGAAACTACAGTGCACGGATCCAGGTAGTTTAAATCTTTTCCCTCCAACCCACCTGTTCGTCAAAACTTCACTGACATCAAACTTGCAAAGCAAGCTACAGTTGTATCTTCGATAACCTGCAGTAAAGCTCCAGCCCATTTCAATCCATGTTACAGTAACAATCAGGATGTAACCTGGTTCAAATCTGCCCTTAGCACATACGGAATAAGTCTGAACCCATTTCTTTCTTGCGTACGCAACTCATCCCGTCTCAGAGGGCTGCTGTGAATAGACAAAGGGGTGGGGACCAAGGTGCTATCTTGTTTTCCTCAAAGAAAAGGCATAGGATATACATATCCGCATAAGCATGGGACAAACGGCTCACACGTGCACACAGAGGTGCAATCCAGGGCCGATCGGCAGCTCAGGGAAACAGGCGGAGGCTTATTTTCAAGCGAAACTACAATCAGCTACTACTTTGCCTCCAAATATTTCTCCTCTGACTACTGATCTGAATTTACTGAGAGGCAGGGTCTGGCAGTCTGGAAAACTGCCAGCCTCTTCTGCTCTTTCTGCAGTCCTGTTTAGACTGACATCAAAACGTTTTAGAAACACACAGCCCCGATGCCAGGGAACGGGACGCAATCTTTCTTCCCGAGGCCAACGGCTGGGCTGTTGTCAGACAATCCACTGCATAAAGTTTTGTGTGGCACGGTGGGCTAAAGCCACAAGCCCCCACCCCAGAAGCTGACGTGCTCTCTCCTGGATACGCTTCAAGCGGAGTGTCGGAGGATGACCACAATGCAGCATTTCTCGGAAAGTGCCATGTTGTTTGACCGATCGGACACTTTGTTGATTCCAGCTTCCAACGAAGGCTTTGAAGGCATTGCAAGCAATGTTTTAGAGAGGAGGGGTGAAAAAAAGATTCTTGAGAATGGAAACTTTAGGCCCCAGGCCTGGCACTCTGTGTGCGTGTTTCTTGCTTCCCTGTCCACAAGCTGAAGAGAAAACAAAGCCACCACCCCTCTCTCAGCAATTTCAAACTGGATTTTGAGCTGAAGCCTCTTAGGAAAAATGACCTTGCGACAGCATCTGTAACGCAGATTGAACCATAAGACTGTGGAAACTGTCATTGCATCCCCCTCATTTCTGCTCTCCCCTTGCCCAATTCTACATCTCTAAAGTTCCCAGGT